AAAAAACATCTAAACGACAATTGAAGATCTCGTCGATTGTAGTCCAATGGTGAAAATACAGACGAAAACGAACAACAAATGAAGAAGTTACAAGTTTATAACGGAGTTTTCCTGTCCCGGCCTACTAAAAATAATATAACAAAAATAAAGTCAAAATTAGCCGATGAAGTCTAAATGAAAGTTGTAGATCTTGTTTTTACCTACACGTCGATATAAAGAACGTCGAAAACGGAGTTCGTATGCAAAAATTATGAATTTCTGAAGTTCGGGGCGCGAATCCCCAAAATTGTCAGAGTTCATGACGTGAATATAGTGTTCACAATGTGAACTCAGTATTTATGACTTTTGGAGCCTGACAAACGCAAGTTGCGATGACGCACCTGGTGAATATTGAACTCACGACGTGAATATTTGAGATTCACGATGTGAATCCAGAAAAATGGCCCTATAAATAGAATTCAAGGGGCAGCCGAGTTTGGTTGCTCAATCTCTTCTCTCCCACTCCCAATACCCTCTTTAAGCCCTATTTTAACCCCCCCCCCCCATGAAGCTCTAGTATCATACCGAGACCCGAAGCAAGTCCCGAAGCCCGAAGATCCCTAGAAGAAAAGAGTTTCCGAGCTGAAGCTCTGCCTCCAAGAAGCCCGTTGTGTGAAGATCTTCCAGATCTACCTAAGAATACTACTTTTACAAGCCGTAGTGTTGTCCGAGCATCCTCTAATCAAGTGAGTGTGTAGTTACTTTCTTCTACCGCATAGACATGAAGTATTTGCTATGAAATACGTGCTATGTGTTTACACGTTGTTTGTTTAGTTGAGATGGTTGTTGAATGAATGTTTTATACATATTTTTAAATGATTTAAACTATATATGTAATTTATATCTACAAATATGTTAGGTAGAACATTGGTAGACGAAATAGTTGGTGTGTGAGGAAAGATTAGTTTGAGGATGACACGAAAGATGATATAGATCATGAGATGAGGGTGACAGGTGAAAAATGAGTGAAACCCTTACCCAAACGATGGCCCTCATCATTCAGCAGAGCAGGGATGACAACCACGGACTATTCTAGACATTCTTGTGGAACACTAACAGACACGCAACTTGTAGGTGTTGTGGACTTGATGTTAACCGGTTTACTCTAAAAACCCATTGATATGTATCACTAGAGGATGTCTCGGAACCAATACTATCAATAAACAAGGTAAACCCCGGCGACTATGGAGTTAGCGCCAGTTAAGTGAACCTTGGTGACTATGGAGTTAACGTCAGTTACATAAACCTTGGTGACTATGGAGTTAGTGCCTGTTACATAAACCTTGGTGACTATGGAGTTAGCGCATGTTACATAAACCTTGGTGACTATGGAGTTAGAGCCTGATAGCTATGGATTTAGTACCTGATATATAAACTTTGGCAGCAATGGACTTTGAGCTAATTCCTTAGGTGAATCCTTAGGAACGAATGAATAAAGGATAGTTGATTCTTAGGGTAAAACCTTAAGAAATAAAGAAGATAATTGGGATGGGTAATTGGGTTGATTGTCTGATGATTAAATATAATAATTATATTATTGTGGGTTGAAAACCCTATATGCTCACCAGGCTCCCAAGCCTAACCCACTCAGTTTTCTTTGCATTACAGGTAATGGCACAAGAGTATAAGTTGGTGGACTTGACGAGAGATTTTGGATTATAGATCAGTAGTTGTAAATAACTGTTGTAAGGTCTATTTTATATTGTTTATGCTTTTAGGAACAAATTCCGCAACCGTTTTCTGTAAACGATTACTCTGATTTTATAAAACAAAGCGGTTTTTTCTGGCCGTGAAAATGGGGATGTCATAAGCTCGGTAAGCTTCGTGCTTATAGTTTTCAGTTTTTGATTTCAGGTACCTCGGCTAGCAAAGGGAATGGCTCGGGATGATGGCATGGTACACACCACAGTTTAGCCTGGGAGATAGACTATGATATTCTGATATGATTTTGACATTAGTTTCGATTTGATAAATTTATTATGACATTTTAAGATACATGATTCATGGTTTTTATCTTTTGGTAATTGATTCATGGCTTTTATCTTTTGTTAATTGATATATATATATATATATATATATATATATATATATATATATATATATATATATATATATATATATGAGAACTTTTATGAAATCGAGAACGCAAGAACAAATCTAAGCCACATATTTCAAATTCATCGCTTAAGCGTTTCAGTATACCGGGACGACGAAACATATATATTTATATATGAATAAGTATGTGTCTATTCACACATGATTATTCATATATGAATGTAACACCGTAAATTTTCAAACAAAAAATTCCATTTAAAAATCATAGAATTCTCATAAATACATTTCTCAAAATCCCAAGTATCAAATTATCAAATACAAACTCCATAATTGATTGATTAAAATTCAGGATCCTCAAGATGTAACTCTTTCTTTCCTGTGTATAATCAAACTGGTGCCTTTCCGCGATCCTGAGAAGTACCTAAAACACATATCACACAACACGGTAAGCACGAAGCTTAGTGAGATCCCTAAAATACCACACATATCACATTAGCCACTCGAGGCTATAACTCAAATAAGACCCTCCGGTCAATGTATCTCAGTGGAGACCCTCCAGTCCCACAACTCGATTCGGACCCTCCAGTCTTGTATCTTAGTGAAGACCCTTCGGTCTCACAACTCGGTTTAGACCCTCCGATCCTAACTCAGTAAGCACAAAATAATACACATCATAATTCACAAATACATAATGTAGGATAACACAATAGTCAATAAATGCATACAAGACCCTTCGGTCACACAAAGATTACCACTCTAGGTAAGGTATAGTGAGGGGACTCATCTCGTAAGTAAGTTAGGAAAATATGTACCCCTCGAACCGTCTACTATAACACGCATCTCAAATTAACACTTAAAATCACAACTTTTAATAAACTCGTGCTATCCCCTCTCTAACTCTTGGGAAGGGTAAAAGACCATTCTACCCCTCCACGGTCTCCACTACTCGTGTTTGACCAACCCTAAAGTCAACATAAGTCAAAACTCGAGTCAACAGTCCATGCTGACCCAACTCGTCGAGTGCATCTCTGCAACTCGTCAAGTCCCCTCAATTCCTCAGGAACCTCATTAAAGTCCAACTCAACTCGTCGAGTTGACCCGTCAACTCACCGAGTTACAGCATGTTCATACTCATCGGGACAAACCCTAACCGACTCGTCGAGTTAGCTCATTGACTTAGAGAGTCCATTCAGTTTGTATTCTCATTCAGACGCTTTACGGTAGATCTCCCACTCCTAACTCTAGATTTAGTCTCATAAGGCTCGAATGTCATGTAACGCTTCGATCTTTACGTTCAGGCATGACATATTTGCTCCATAATGCCAATACAAGTTCCAACATGGGTTTGGTGCTCATAGGCTTGCCTTTAGCTCCATAAAGCTTGGTTCTCTGGGCTCACAAGACCTCCTACAATTATTGAGGTTTTAACCTCAAGATATGCTCAATGGACTCAATAACACAAGATGGATGGGGAAAAGCCCTAGAACTCCCCAAAATAAGATCTCACAAGAATAATGATCAAGATATCATCTTTTTACCTCAAACAGAAGTTGTCCACTGAGAACCTCTAGATCCAATGTCCCTCCTTGCTCCAATCCTTGATGCTTTCGTCTTCTTCTCTCAAGGTGCACCAAAATGCTTAAGATAGCCTCTCATTCTCACACAACAACCTAAAACTCGGTCAGGGTTCTTCACAAGGCTCAAGGGTGATGAGGGAGGCGCAAATGAGGTCTTAAGGCCCTTTAAACAAGACACAGACCCAAGGATTTAGGGTTTTCTCACACAACGCCAACTCGATGAGTCGGCTATCTAACTCGTCGAGTTTATCATTAAACCCACGTGACCAATCCGACTCTACTCAATGAGTCGGGCACACAACTCGTCGAGTCACTCATTCAATCCCAAAAAAATATATATAAATATAATATATGAGAGTCGGGATTTTACAATGAATGTGGTGGTTGGTGGCGAAGGTGGTGGTGGTGGTGGCGATGACGGTGGTAGTGGCAGTGGTGGTGGCGGTGGTGGTGTTGGTGGGTGGCCGAGGTGTTGGTGACGATGATGGATATTCATATATGATTAAGTATATACTTATTCATGTATGAATAAGCATATTCATATATTGATATATAAGTATTTTCATATATGAAAAAGTATGTTTCTATTCTCAAGTGACTATTCATATATGAATATGGTCGTTAATAGCGGTGGTAAGGGTAGCGGTGACAGTTGTAACGCCGTAAAATTTCAAACAAATTTTCACATTTTAAAAACAATTTAATTCACAATATTTTAAAACACATTGTTTCATATATTCAACATAAGTCAAAAATCCCAAGATCATAACATATAGGTAAAACTCCGCATCACTACTAGAAAAACAACCTTTTACGATGCTCATTGCGCGTCGTAAATGGCTCAGACGACGTGCAAATGTGCGTCAAGGAAGGCCCTGTCATAAAGAAAGACGACGCGCATTTACGACGCGCAATTACGACGCACGTTTACGACACGCAACGCGTATCAAGAAAGGCCCTATCATAAAGGAAGACGACACGCATTAGCGTGTCGTAACCTTACGACGCGCGTGTTAATGACACGCAATGCGTATCAAGAAAGCCCCTGTCAAGAAAGGCCATGTCATAAATGAATATGACATACATATTTGCGTATCATAATTTTAAATGTTTAAAAAATATATTATTTATAGATTTACCAATTTTCAAATTAAATTTGTATTTAATGTCTCATAATAGAAAATAAAATATCATATACAAAAAAATACAATGCTTTGCATAAAATTTAATGTCATACAAATAATAATATATAATCCATTGCATAAAATACAATACCTAACTATCTAACCTATTATTACATTGCTATTAAGGGACACTTTGTTTCAGATATCATGTAAAAGACAAATCCTCCATGTCAAAAAAAATTGTTGTTGTCCATCGAGTGTAGATGACAAATAATGACTTGAACATTAGCTGAAACCAAAAAACTTTTATTAATCACACAATCAAAAATATGAAACCTAAAATCTTTTAATTACACAAGAAACAACACATCATCATGAGAAACTACTAACCTGCCCTGAATGGAGGTAGTTTTCTCCAGCCAACTTTGTTGGTGTGGACTGATAAAAGTTATAGCATGTCCTAGCAAGCTGCAAATAATACATATCCAAATTATTAGCAACTAAAAAAGCAACAAAAATAACAAACCTCTTCAGCCAGATTCAGGAACTTTCATTGAAGAGATAAAAAGAAAAGATAAGCAAAGCAACGATGTACTAAAGCAAAGATTCTTCCATAACCAACTGAAATGTCCACATAAGTCTTAGTCCCCATTATTATCCTAGGTGAAACAGTATGATTCTTAAGGAAACAAATTTATTGAAAGCAAAAACTGACTGACTGAATGAATGAATAATTACATACTATCAAGATCAAGAAATTCTTTTTTAACCAATATTACAGTTAGCTGATAGATCCCAAAGGGTACGGTACTATTTACGTCCAAACATTGATAATATTGGAACTTGAACCCAAGAATTTGTAAAGCATTAGATTGCAAGAAATGCCCAGAACAGAAGAGATTGGATAATGTACAATTAGCCTTTCAGAAAAAGGCTTAGATAATGCATGCAAATTTATTCTGACCTTGGGGGAAACTTCCCCAATTAACCTATTTTCACCAAGGGAGATCACCAATCAAAACGTAACTTCCCAAATTTATTCTGACCTAAAAGTAAATAAGGAAACTTTTAAAAACAAAGGAATTAATTTTTTTTTTTTGCAAGGCAACCAAACACGCCAGCCATGGAAAGGAATCTTAAATTCCAACACCAAGCAAACATGCCCAATGATTGCAATTCTTTTATAGATCTCATCCCTTGAGAGAACATATTGTGAATCATGCACCCTTATAATAGCCTTTTAGTCGTTAATCGGGCATATTTAAGTGTTGTACCTTGGGGAAAACAGGGATCAGGTTCAAGAAGACATTGTTATCCGGATGAAGTTTGAAACACTCCAATACCTAAATCAGTGAGTACAGTCAACTCAAGTACCTCATTTATTGCAACTTCAATACAAAGTCAAAACAACCAGAAAGGGTAGAACTTACAATGTCAAACACTCGGGTTGGATCCAAATTGAAGAGCCCGATTAACAACTGCAAAGAATCAATTAGTGAAAAGCAACAACAGCTGAACAGGTATGGGACAAAGTAGGAGCTCAGAATATTTTTTTAGAAGATGTCAAACCTTGATTATGCCAACCGTCGCGGCTGATGTATTTTCAGAACAAATTTCATTTTGTTTCCTTTTCTCATAACATCAATCACATACTAGATATCTCTTTCTGACTTAGACCTTGAGACTTAAACATCCAACCAACCTTCTTCATAACGACCACAAATACCATTTTTTTGTAAATATATTTTTTATTGGATGCAAAGTTGACAAGACACAACAACCACAAATGAGTAAATAAATGTGGATTAAAAAAATACGACTATACCCTTCAACAACAACTTTGCTAAAATGACCAAAGGGAGATGATGACTGACTGGAGTAAAAAAAGAGCTGCTAATAGCTTTTTTGACTTTTACACTTATAAAAAAGTTTTATAGAATTAGAAAATGTAAATGGAAAGAAACACATTTTTAAGCAACATAAGTTTGATGAAAATGAAAGTAAACAGACCTGATCGTTTTCTTCTGCTTCTTCTAAAGGGGATTTCCCAGATTCTGATGGTTTTTCAGCACCATAGTTTTGTCTACTGCATTTTGTTCTGAATGGATAGTTTATGTTGTTACATTGATCACACTTCCAGCTCCCATCAGGCATATCTCCTTCTGAAAACAAACACATTATCGTTTATGATTTCTGAATATCAAAGCTATGATTTCCAAAAACAAAATTTAACTTACTGGAGTTCTTTCCTGACTTTGAAGCCTGGAAACAAATTCAAACAATAAAAAAGTTTTATCATAACATTTAGTCAATTGTTGTTTAAGAAATACAGAAGATGAAACTAGGTGTAAAGAAAAAATATTAAATACCTGAGATCCTCGCTTAGGTGTATTGCATTTTCTCATGTTACAAATTGTCCTAAATGAGAAATTCACATTTCCACAATTAGGGCATACCCAATCATTATCGCTTTTTCCATCTAAAATATAAAATAATAATAATAACATTAGCCATCTGTTCATCCAAAAATAAAATCAACATACAAAATGTTTTCAACACCTTTCTTTGCTTTCGCTTCTGGATAAAACCCAGGTCGTAGACCCTATCAATTTTCAAGGGTCAAAACAGTTAATTCATTATAAATTTATAACAAAAAGATTTTAATACTTATACAACCATACCATTGGAGTGTGGCCCAAAGGCAAGTATCGGTCCATCATCGGAGGTACTCCATACATACCAACTATAAATATCTATATCTATATATATATATATATATATATATATATATAACAATTATAAAATGAGAAAAATAAAAGTTATTATATTTAGTGTACCTATGATTGAGCCACCAGAGTAGGGGTGGGAGGGGTCTATAGGGGTTGCTGCCTCCAGAAAGGTGAATTCCATAACTATAATGATAAGCAGATGGAACATGAACATCATAAGGAGGTGGCATAGAGAGAGAGAGAGAGGAGCCATAAGGTTGTACACCAATATACATTGATGAAGGTGCACCAGAACCAATGTAATGACCAGCAGTAACAGATGAATACCCTTGTGGGGTCTGCATTGCCTTTCCACCAGATTTTTTGCAACACAGTAAAACTATTAGTTGTAGTGTTGTACAAGTGTAACAGAAGTTGCAAGTTACATAAAGAGGGGACTAAAATGAAACAATAGGGGCTAAATGGTGTATAAATATAAACAAAATGTGGAAATTACAGAATTATGATCTGCTGGTCTAGGTTGTGTACAATTACGCATATTGCATGTTGTCCTGAAAGAGAAATTCACATTTCCATAGCTAGGGCAAGTCCAATCATCTTCTCTACGACCCCCTATTTATTAAAATAATTGGTTATGGGTATTATAGAAACACTAAATTACAAGTGAATTCTTAAGTCATCAAACCCTACTGAAGTACAATGTTGTAGTAGAAAAGATGCAAGTAGAATGTTATGATAAGGAAATAGACGAAAGTACATAGTTTTTTCTTGCATTTAACCCATTAAATGTTAATCTTTAGATACAAAAGAAAATATGGAAAAACAAGATGTTATAAACTACAATATACCTTAAGTTCATGGAGTTCAAGCAAACACTTTGACTGAAGGTCTTCACCTCTGCTTAAAGGTAATTCTAAATTCATGATAAAAAAAAACAAATGAGTAAAGTTAAATGATATCTACAAACAACTTCACCTGCCAGTAAATATTCATGTAGAATTGTATAAGACATCAAATAAAGGTCTAGGGTGTTGGTTTACAGAGCATTAGGACTTTAATTCCTTACAAAGATTATGGTAAAACAATTCGAATTCTGTGAAAGGAGAATTCCATTTAAATACAATGTACTATGATTTTAAACCATCAACATAGTAATAACTTCTTCAAGAAGGGGAACCAGAAACAATGAAAATAACATAAATATATTGGAGTTGACTGGTCTCAATTCCATTACAGGATATCAAGCATTCTTGAATCCAAAGGCAAGAACATGGAAACGATGAAGGTGATTTCTATCAATCTCCCATAATCAAATTTGCACCCTTAATGTAATTAAGAAAATAGGCCAAACGCAAAAATCAAGTTTATGCTGCCAAAAAGAAACTACATTTAACTACACAGAGATTACCAAGCAATCTGAATATTTCTCTACAATGTTAAAGTATAATAAAAATGCTTCTTATGGCAACCTTCAAGTTGTGTTAAACGATTTTAGATGTGGCTCTCGATCCGTTTTTCCCTTGTTTCTACCATTTTAGAACCTGTTATGTGATTAGATCGATGTTTGACCAAAGCCTCCTCAAGGTCTGCCATTAAATCTCCTCCATTTGGAAATGGAGAGTTATTCTGTATTGATATCAAAAAGTTAGGCAGACACACCATGTAATAGTTATAAGTTGAACATATTTTACACGGTAAATTCTCCTAAACATGAACAGTAGACCATAGGTCTAAACCTAAAACTGAAATTACATATCCATTGACCATAGGTAGCCCAAAGATGTTTGCTAAACCATACACAAATCAAAAACTACAAGGCAGTTCATGTAGACAAACAGAAAAAGTAGAATTCAACTAGAGAGAATTGCATTGAGATTATTACAATTGAGCATACCATGATTAGCCCTAAGCTGTCAATTAAACTAAAACAATACAACCCACTGGTCGAACCAAATCCTTGCGCTCATGTACTAGGGTTTGTAAATGAGAAGCCGTGTTCACCTTATTTGTTGAACGGATGAAGAAAAAGGACCAAGGCTAGAAGCGCAACTGGACTGGGGTCTGTAAATGTGAGGAGTCTTGTAGATGGCGTAGGGTAGAGGTGAAGACAAGTTCTGTTACCAATTTTATGTTGAGATTATTGTGTCTAATCGTCGCCATAAAGATACGATCAAGAGAGAATGGTCTTCGATTTCTGGAAGGAAACGAGGGTGTTACAGAGAAGGGGGATCAGAATCGCGGTAGATCTAAGGAGAGAGTGAGCGGTCTTTGATCTGATCGAGAGAGAATCGTCGCAATAAATATACGATCGAGAGAATGGTCTTCATGTTTCTGGTGGTGGTGGCTGTTAGGTTTTATAGAGAGAAGGAGGGGAGAAAATGAAGGTCATCGGCAGGTGGAGAGAAAAGAATGAGCGGGTCTTCAAAAAATTTGGGGATTTTGTTTCCACCGTATCATTTCCCGCCTAAAAGGCGTGTTTCATTAAAAAATTATAAAGCGACACTCTTACATGACACACATTTTATGAAAGGCGCCCTCCGCATTACTTTTTTATTTTCTTTTCTAACACTAATTTTAGGGCACGTATAAATGCGCGTCCTCAATCCTTAAAATTTTGGAAAACTGACATTAGTTTTTAGGGCACATACAAATGTGCGTCGTCTATCAGTGTGTGTCATTATTTGCGCGTCATTAAAGGCCAGTTTTCTAGTAGTGCGTGTGTGTACTGATCATGTCGGCGCCTTCCCGCGATCCTCACTAGTACCTGAAACACATAACACAAAACACGGTAAGCACGAAGCTTAATGAGTTACCCAAAATACCACATATAACACATATTAGCTACTCAAGGTTATAACTCTTGTGGGACCTTGGGCCCTAACTCTGTGGACCCCCTGGTCCTAGCTCTGTGGACCTTCCGGTCCTAACTCCGATATACTCACAGCATAAATCACATAGAAATAATGCAGTGCAACACATCACATAGATAGCATACAAGATACTCTATCACATAACTCTGTTTACCTACTCAAGGTAAAGTATAGTGAGAAGACTCACCTCGGATGTATCGGTAATATCTCACTCGCGTAAACACTGATCTAGCCTCTGCCTAAACACATAAACGATCATCTCAATCAATAACGGCTCTCCAGGCTAGACTAGATCCTCACATGTCCTCTAAGAAGGCTAAAAGACAATTTTACCCTTCAAACAGTCCACAAGTCCAATTGTTGACCAAACCCTAAAAGTCAAGAAAAGTCAACGATCAACCTTTTGACCAGACTCGCCGAGTGCACAATTGTGACTTGGCGAGTTCAGTCATGAACTCAAGTCCTCTAAATTCCCAATGACTCACCGAGTCACTTCCCCAACTCAGCGAGTCACCAACTGTGTGATTCATGGGGAAAACTATCATACTCGTCGAGTCTGTTCTTGGACTCGACGAGTTCATGCCATGCTCAAACTCAAATGACCTCCTGAGGTCAGATCTGTTCCTCTAATCCATAGATTTGACCTTCCCAAGCATGATAATTACGTAAAGTTCAGATCTTGATTCTCATGCAAAGGCCTAAAGGATCTATTTGGAGAAATAACCTCAAATATGACATCCTAAGCTCATGTCTCCTAATATCAATCATAAAGATCAAAGGGTTAAGGTCTTTGGACATTTTTGGATCCAGATCCAAAGCCTTAATACTAGAAGGGACCAAATGCTCGTCAAATCAAGCCTCTAAAGGGTCTAGAAAACCCTAACTCCAAAGGTTAACACCAAAACTGAAGAAGGATCGAATCTATACCTCAAATATGAAGTCCCTGGGCTCTGAAATCTACAGAATAGCACCCTCTTCAGCTTCTTCTTGCCTTGGTCACCTTCTTCTTGCAAGAACACCAACACAAGGATCAAGAATGGCCTCTCCTCCCTTACAAACGTTCTAGCTCTATTAGGGTTTCTCTCAAGGGTCTGGTAGCCGCAACGGAAGGCTATAAGAGCCTTTAAATAGATCCCAAACCCGAGAAATTAGGGTTTCACTTAACAGCGTGGACTCGCCGAGTCCGGTCACCAATCCGGATAAGAACCCGCGGTCCTACTCGGCGAGTCTAGGCATCAACTCGCCAAGTTCCTCCCCAAACTCAAAATAAAAGAATAAAATAATATAGCCGGAAATCCGGATGTTACAATAGTGGTGGTTGCAGTGGTGGGGTTGGTAAACGCGAGAATATACTTATCTTTGTATTTACATATAAATATATAAGTGTATTCATAAATAAATAAGTATGTGTCGATTCTCAAGTGATTAATTTTATATGAATATGGTAGTTAGTATCAGAGGTGGTGGCGGTAGCATGGGTAGAGGTGGTTGTGGCAATGGTGGAGGTGGTAAACATTAGAATATACTTACATATATATTCACATAGAGTATTACATTCCTCCGTCGTGTCGGTACGCCAGAGGTTTTGTGGCAAAAAAATGTAGTCCAATTGTGGTTGTTGTGGTGGTGGTTTATATTTACATTTGAATATTATATCCATTTGTCGTGCTGATATGCGAGAGGATTTTATGGCAAAAAAAATATATGTGGCCTAGATTTTTATATATATATATATATATATATATATATATATATATATATATATATATATATATATATATATATATATATATAAACCATTTTTATTGTGTGAATGTATGACAAAATCTAAACCAATCATTTGAAAATGGTAATTTTATAATTTTATTAATTAAATTAATTATTATTTAATATTAATTTACTACGATTATGGTAAGTGATTATTGATTGTTGATAATTAAGGTCTCCATAATCCAATAACCTACACGCCGTCCAAGCCATTCTCATCGCCCATCTCCATACAACGGTCATATACGATCGTCGCTCTCACCTAACACCGACCAGATGTGAGGTCGGTCTCATCCTCTTCGCTGGAATCAATGCCGCCGCACAACAGTGACCTTCCACTGGTTTGTTTCTCGACCTGCGTAACAAGTATTGATCTCGATTTCAAGACCTACAACTCGATTTCAAGATAGAGAATTCATACCTACAACTCGATTTCAAGATGGAGAATCCAGACCAAACCTTGTCGCTGCATAAGCCCTATTTATACCATTTGCAGTTGCTTCGATTCTCGTGGGTCCTATTTTTATAAATCTAACTTTTGCATCTTTTATCATCATTTTTTTGTAACAATTTCAGAAACTCCTCAATTTGTATCTATCGTGAACACAAGGTCTTTGTAACTTCAAACGATGATATCGTATTTTTAGGGAATCAATAACTTCAAATGATGAAATTGAGTTGCCCATTGGTGATAACAGAGATGAAAA